GGGGTCGGCGGCCGAAGGCGGGGGGCGCTCTGCGCATGCTCAGGTGGCCGCCGGGTTTTTCACTGCCTCTGTGTTTGTTCACGACCGTCCGGGTTCTGAAGCGAAAAATAAAAAGATGGATTTCAGCGGACTGAAGCAAATTAGTGTCTCCGTTTTCAAAAATTCAGTAGACCTGGGGATCCCCCGGAATTACAAGTAATAAAAATAATAACAACAATAATAACAACTGATCTCCAGACTACAGAAAAGAGTACCCCTGGAGAACATATAATAATAATAATAATAATATGATTTGTTAATTGCCCTATCTCAGCTTACACCAGGCTCTGGGTGATGTGCAAGGGGCATAATATCATTCAGGTAAAGGTAAAGGTTTTCCCTTGCTCGAAAGCCAGTCGAATCCGACTCTAGGGATGCGGTGCTCATCTCCGTTTCCAAGCCGCAGAGCCAGCGCTGTCCGAAGACAGTTCCGTGGTCATGTGGCCGGCGTGACTAAATGCCGAGGCGCATGGAACGCTGTTCCCTTCCCACCGAAGTGGTACCTATTTATCTCCTTGCAATTTCTTGCTTTCGAACTGCTAGGTTCGAAATGGGAAGAGGGCAAAGGGAACTTAAAATGAAATATACTGGGGAGGGGGAGAGGAGAAGGGTGCCAGCCAGTGCATCCAACCATTGCTGCCCTTGATCAAAAGCCTGGCGGAACATCTCTGCCTTACAGGCCGTGTGGAATCGCACTAGGTCCCCCGGGGCACTGGTGGCATTTGGCAGAGAGTTCCGCCAGTTTGGGGACACGTCCGAAAAGGTCAAGGATGCTTTGGAGGGTGGACTCTGTGGCACTGTGCCGCACTGAGGTCCCCGTTCTCTCTAGGCTTCATCCCCAAATCTCCAGGAGTTTCCCAACCAGGATCTGGCAACCTTATTCCCTGCATCCAACCCTGTTGGCTTGGGGGATGGTCGGGCCTGACAACCCTAGACTATGAGGGTGGTGAGCAAGAAGTTATCCATGGCTTTAGAAGGGGGTTCGACGGTGGCTGCTAGCTGTGGAGACTAAAGATAACCTCCATATCCAGAGGCAGTAAACCTTTGAATACTGGTGCTAGGAGGTAACTTCAGAGAAGGCCTCTGTGCCCTGTTGTTGGCCCTCCAGAGGAACCAGTTGGCCACTGTGTGAGACAGGATGCTGGATTGGATGGATGGACCACTGGTAGTGTTGCCGACTCCAGGTTGGAAAATGCCTGGAGATTTAGGGAGTGGAGCCTGGGGAGGGAAGGGACCTCAGCATGGTATTCATGCCACAGAGCCCACCCTGTAAAACAGCCACTTCCTCCAGGGGAGCTGATCTCTGTCGTCTGGAGAACAATTCTAATTCCTGGAGACCTTGGCGACTCTAACCACTGTGATCCAGCAGGGTTGTTTTATTGTTCTTAAGGTATTTTGTCACCATTACTTGTAGACTCAGTGTTCCCTCTGATTTCCCCCCCCCCTACTGAGTGAAGCAGAATATAACTGCTGTCATCTTAAAAATGGCCGATGGGCAGTGCAAGACCATGCGCGGCTCCAGACTGCTGCTCATCAGGGCTTCCCGTGCTAATGAGCGGTCACTCACGCACACAACTTAGCGGGAGCACTGCTTGTGGCTGGGTTTTATTGTAGCACTCCCAGGGGTCATTTCCTGCAGGAGCACACAGGAGCGGAGCTCCATTAGTAAAGAGCCCAGGGGGCGGGCACATGCAACAAACCCCGCTCCCTGCTCCCAGCAGCCCCAGGCCACAAGGAGCAAGAAGCAGCCTGGTAAGTTGCAGAGCCCCCCCTCCCCCCCAATAGCAATCCAAAACAGTCCAGTGGAGCCTGAGCAGTGGGTGTTGCCTTCTAACACACTTCCGGTGATGTCAGGGGGTATGGCATATGCAAATAAGTTATATGCTAATGAGTTATGCTAATGAGCTCCTGCACCTCTTTTTCTACAAAATGACCCCTGAGCACTCCTCAAAAGTTTCTGAAGGGGGGAAGCGGCTTCTAAACTCTGCTTTTAGGACTCACAAAAACAATCCCACGGACACTAGTTAGACAAGGCTCTTGCGTCGGCCAACGTTGCACAGGCTTTATATTTTGTGTTTCGTATTTTATTTAATTGTTTACATTATTTATAGCAGGGGTGGCCAAACTTGCTTAATGTGAGAGGCACACAGAATAAACGTCAGATGTTTGAGAGCCGCAAGACACGAACGCATATCACACGTTTTTATTGAAAAATATGCAAATTTGCTTTTTATTAACATTAAACAAGATTGCCAAAAATAAAAACAAAAGGGGTAAAAACAGGTATTGGTAATGATATTTATTTGTCCAATAATATTTATTTGTTTGCTAATGATATTTATTTGTCTAAGAGAGAGAGAGAGAGAGAAACAAAGCAAATAGATGGGGGAAGGAAGAAAGAAAAAGGTAGAAAGAAAGCAGATAGATGGGGGAGGGAGCAGGAGGAAGGAAGGAAGGGAAAGATAAGAGAAAAAGAAACAAAGCAAATAGATGGGGACCCGGCGGAGAGCCACACAATATGTGAGAAAGAGCTGCATGTGACTCCCGAGACACAGTTTGGCCAGCCCTGATTTATAGTCAATTTTTCTCACTTAGGCTTAAGGGTGAGTTGCACAATGTATGTCAGTGCGGTTGATAGGATGAGGCGTCTAATAAGCAATGGGACTTGGAATTGCAGAATCCTGAAGCCGAGGAGTCATCTGAATGAATACTGAACAGCCCAGTAGCACCTTTTGACTAACAAACTTTATTGCCGCATAAGCTTTTGAGAAACACAGCTCTCTTTGTCAGACATCTGACGAAGAGAGCTGTGTTTCTTGAAAGCTTATGCTACAATAAAATTTGTTAGTCTTAAAGGTACTGCTGGGCTTTTTACTATTTTGCAGCAACAGATTAACACAGCTAAACTCCTCTGGATCATCTGAATGAAGCATCAGGGGGCTTTGACACACACACACACACACATACACACACAAAATAATACACTTTCAATCCTCTTTCACTGCACTTTGCAAATGGATTTTATTGTGTGAAATGGCGAAATCTGCTTGCAAACCATCGCTGAAGTGGATTTAAACTGCATTATTTAGCATGTGTGAAAGTGCCCTTTAAGTGTTAAACGTGGCATGTTAATCAGTGCAGAACATGGTATCACATTAGTAGAAACATGATGCGTCATTCTTGGGCTAATCTGTTATAATACAGTGGTATTTCTTTTACGAAAATGCCAGCTGAACAATTCTGGTTTCCACAGTTCGCAAAATAACAGGAGTGTGGGAGCTTTCCTGACCTCCTCAGTGTTTATATAGCACATTGATGAGCAACAGGCCGTACTCTGTGGCCATTCTGCACATGATGCAGAGGCTAGTTCCAAAATTTAGTTGTATTGCCCCACCAGTATACTGTAAAAAATTAATTTATGTGAATTGCTTTGAGTTCAGTTGATGGGGGGGAGGGAGCAGTGCACCCTCTAAGCTGTGGAGTCTTGTGAGCAAAAATTCTACTTTGTGAGCTACCTGCATTAAAGCTGTGAGCGAGCGATTTGGCTACTGCATACATTAGTTTGCTCACGAGCTATCCTTCCTGAGCTAAGACAAAAATGTGTGAGCCGGAGGCTAAAAAACTGAGCTAGCTCACACTAACTCAGCTTAGAGGGAACATTGGGGGGGGAGTGGGCTATAATAATTTAAATAAAAACAAATCTTAAACTAAGTACTCATCTTTAAACATCTTATCACAACTAGTGGTTTTCTATCTCCTTTTAGCTTTTGTGTCCTGACCTCCCCCCCAGTTTGAGAAAGTGTTGCTTTACGTGGTTCATTTCCTCCAGACTGATAAAGTAGTCTGGTGACACCTTTGGGTTTCTGTAATAGCCTCAACTGGATCTGGAGAGTCTCCGTGAATGACTCCCTGCTGAGTCTTACCTAACACAGTGACGTTATGTCCTGAGTATTGAAGACTAACTTTTGAATGTCGCTTTTTGAATAGCTGAAATTTTGAGATGAGCTTAAAATCGCACACATTAGCTAACGTCCCTAAATTTTGAACGCCGTGTTGGGAGGCTGACTTTATATGAAAATGTTTTTAAATGGGGGACCTTATCGGCTGCACTTCATTGGTTTAGGGGTGTGAACGGATTCAAAACTGTATCACTTTTTCCTTGGCTCTGTTTCTGTGCCCTGTGGGTCATGGATTGCTATGTCCACATGTCTTGGCATTTCTAGTTAAAAAACAATGAACTTTTTTGTTCTGTTTGCCCGCCTCTAGAATTCTGTAATCGGTCACTTTTGTTTTTCAGCCTTATCTCCGTCTCAGAACTTCAGTCCCAACAGCATCAGCCGTGCTTTAGTCACTTGACCTGGAGCAGCGACGAATTCAGGAAATGGGCTTGTGACGGCAAAGGCCTCTTTCCCGGCCAGGAAGTTTTGCAACGAGCTCACTTGATACTTGTTGGTTACTTGACAGACGGGGGGAAGGACGGAGCAACAGATGGTAGTTTGTACGTACGAGACAGCACTGGCGTGCTGCCCTGTGAGGTAGGGCAGGAGGATGTGCTACTTTTATCTTTTTCGGAGCTGCCTTGTATGTAACGGTGGATGGCCTGTAGAATGAAGGAAGTAGGTCTTCAAAATCCTTCTCGCTTGATGTATTGCCAGTGCGCCTTGAGGGGCTGCCTGTGTGGAGAACGTAGCATGTGACAGAAGATCACAAACAAAGGGATAAAGCAAAAGAACAGAGAGTCCAGTGGCACCTTTAAGACGAACAGTGTCTCATTCATGGTGTGAGCTTCAGTGTGCATGCACACTTTCTCAGACAACTTGAAATGGAACTTAACAGGCAGATACTTCTGCAGAGGCGGACAGCAAATTAGCACGTAACTTAATGGAGACATTTTGACATGTGCAAAGGTGTGAAAACAACAATAGCAAGCTAAATTCCTAGGGTCACAATCTGTTTGGATTGAATTAGTGGGAATAAGAGCAGTAAAACAATACATATGTCAGAATAAGAGATAGATGTGTGTTAAAAAAGTATCCTTAATTATTATGGGCAATGAATAAGCCTTAGCAGTTTCCACAACCGTGAGAGCAACGGCCATTTTTTTTAGTCACCTGACTGTGCTCTGAACCCCGTCACTCCTTCACTGCCTCCCCTTGTTCCATCACCCCAGGCTTTGTCCAGCCTGGTTCCAGAAATGGGGTGGCCAACCTCCAAGTGGGTCCTGGACATTTCCCAGAATTACTACCGATCCCCAGGCTTCCCTTGGAGGAAATGCCTGCTTTGGAGAGCGGACTCTGTGGCGTTATGCCCTCCTGAGGTCCCTCCCCAGGCTCTGCCCCCCTCTCCAGGAAACCCTAGATTAAGCCAGGCTGGCTGCCTGAGGTGGTGGGAAGGTGCACTCCCCCCAATCCTCAATTACCTCTTGACGTGAAAACTGAATTCCATCCCAAACCACAGTTTATGTGAATGTGGCAGGCATATCAGTATCGCATCCAGTTTGGAGCTGGGAATGCAAGCTTAAACTAAATCAATTTAATCAGAGCTCTAGTTGATTCGGTGGCAGAGCATTTTTAGGGACTGGAGCCAATGTTCCCGCTAATTTTTTACCCCCTACTGGGTGCCGTCAGACAGGCCGTTTAGTCCGCTTTTGGCCCGCCTCAGAAATGGGTTTTATCTGCGTGATCACACAGTCAACATTTGCCTTCCGTCCCCAGCTGTCGCTTTCCGGCTCAAAACAGCTTTAACCTGGAGTATTTTGATACCAGGTCCCCAAGTGGTGTTTTCCTGATTCTCCGGTTCCAGCCACATTTTCCCCCTGTGTGATCGCTCCTCC